GGAGGCTTTCATTAATCCTGTAATAGAACGCTTTCAGACACCCAATATAACGATTTCACTAAGATACAGTCCAATTTCTGAAGGGGACTGATTTCATCGCTTATCGGACCCCTCCTTTATTTTAAAAAAATTTTCTTGAAGAATTATAACTAAATATAATGTCACTTCTAAAAGTTTGAGTCTTGGTGACTCAGTTGTAGAATATCTCAAAACAATGTGAAATGCACTATTCAATGCAGAATTGAACGGGCTATAAGATGATGCTATTTCCGTTTTGGCATTCATCTTTTGATAGAGACATTTCATCAGAATACTGGGAAAAAAATTTATATTACGTCAAAAAATACAGTATTTTGACTTTTCGACTTCAATATCGAGATTGAGGAAAAATGTCATGTATGCCATTTTGTAGAGCAATTCAAGCTCTATCGATTGGTATATGATTCAGTTTGAATAGTAGAAAAGTTTTAAGAAAAAAAATTCAAATATGAATCCGATATGAATCTGATATGACATCTGATTTCGCTAAACAAAACAAAATATGAGTATGGTCATCTCAAGTGCTGAACGTTGTTCAGCAACGTCCCATATATGATTCGATGCAGAATTGAATGGGCTATAAAATGATGTGTAAACTTTTTTGGCAATCGATTTCTGACCTAGATATTTGATCAAAATACTGAAAAAAACCATGAAATCGTATATGCATAAAAAACAATGTTTTTTGACTTTTTGCCGTCAATATCGAGGTTGAGAAGAAATGTCATATATACCGTTTTGTAGAGCAAGTCAAGCTCTATCGATTGGTATATGATTCAATTTGAACTGTGGAAAAATTTCAAGGAAAAACTTCAGCGAAACTAAAAGTTGAATTTTTTGCATTTTTTGATGGTATTTTTTAGGATATGTCAGGTTCATCGGTCCTAGCCAACTATAGGTAGATCTTTAGACCGTAATATTTTGGATTTATATATGGTACACTAAGGCCTAAAATCCTATGAGGTCAGATTAAAAATCGGTTGACCCCCATGTTTTTCGATATGTGAAATTTTTTGATTTTTTGATGGAACGTCTCTTAAGTCTTTCATGTACAAGCATATCGTTATCTGCGAAGGCAAGAACAGAAAAGTGCAATTAAAAATGTATTATTGTTCATTTTCTGCGGATAATTTATGTTCTACAGAAAACACAAACGGTTTCTTCATCAAAAGATCAGAGAAGAACCTACAATGCTTATATTAGCCCTTTGCAATCTGAAAGACAGAATGTAAAAAGAACGTATATACTTCACTTAAACTCTTCGACATTTTCTTCACAGATGGTATGCAAGTGTTCTAATGAATTTCGATAGACGAAAACGACATGGATATGTATAATCTGGAAGACATTACTCCGTATCTATTTTTGAATTTCAGTACAAGGTCAATTAATTACGGTCATACCGACGATTGGACGTAAAGAGATTAGTTAAGCATTGAATGTCGACAGTGTGTATACGACACTCTACAATATATCTCTCAGAGATCAATATATTTTTGAAAAGATATTTTTTCAGGTCTACATTGTTTTCTTGTCACTCATATTTGTAAATTAGTATTGAAGAAGAAAAGAAGATAAAAAGTCACCTTTCGAAGTGTACTCGTTTCAATAATACTCATTAACGTTGTCTCAATCACAATTTTCTTTGTCAATTCGAATTCTATATGAGAATATTGATCATAACGCTATGATCTACTGTAAAGAGTAGACAGTTTCGATAATTGAGCTGTTATGATGTATGAACGATTACTGATGGATACAATTCTCTATTGAAAAAGTCAGCTACTGGATAGGTAATAAGACAATCGATTGAAAGGAGAATTACGTTTAACCAAGATATCTTTACCATGTCGTTTCCATCTGGAAATCTATTCTAGGTGTTCGAAGCAAAGATATATGAGCTGATACTTTTAAAGCTTCAAATAAATAGTAAACTTAATTAACAAAAATTGTGAGGATTGACTAGGGTTTGAATGTTATTGAGCTTAAATAAGGTTGAAACTTTTAAAAAATGCTATATTTATTCTTGATGTTCAAATTGTAACTATTACATATCTGAACAACTGGGTATGTACCAGTCCCAATTCTGACTGGTACTAGAGAAACTGGTGCACCTTCACCATGCATGAGATATTTGTAAAACACGCAAACACTGCCAAATGTGGAAGTGATACCAATAGTGGATAGAGCTCGGTGAACTGATCCTACGAACACTCAAAATGATTGAATATAGGAATGGTTGACCAATGTACACTTATTTTTCTAATCTACGAATACTCATGTCTTTTGACAGTGAGTAGCTCTATTCGAGTTAGGTACATGGCCCAAATTTGAACCTTTTATATGCTTGCATGAGGAAAATAGCAAGAACCGACTTTTTTAAATATTAAGCCTCATACTTCAATTTCGCTTATATATTCCAAATTCGATTACAAAGCTTAAAATTAAAAAAAATCTGTCCCTGCGACTTGTCTTATGCAAGCATGTAAAATGCTGAAATTTTGAGCATGAACCTAACTCGAGTCACTAGGACTACTCACTGTCAAAAGATATGGGTGCTCATAGATTTGAAAAAATAGTGTACATTGTACAGTCACTTCTATATTCAAACATTTTGGGTGTTCGTGTGTTGTACAAATACTCCTATTCGTATACTAGTCTCTTTTGATCTTTGCTCCATGACAAATAGTTATCATTGATGTTACATATAGATCGTATGTAGAGCTGAACTGGTCTCTATGGAGTTGAAAATGATACATGGTTAACAACGACAAAGACTACTGCCATAGTTTTTAATAGTTATTGAGAGAAAGATAATGTACTTGTCCACACAACTTGAATCATTCTGATTGAAATGGCTATTGCAGAGATGGAACCGATATCGGTCTATATTTTTCACTTTCATACGCTATGATTGTATTCATATGAAAAAACAACTGGCACCAAGACTAGTCTTACTGATCACACAGAAATTTATTTAACAAGCAGTTTTCGAAATGACAACCAGTGAGACTATTGTTATCAACGGTGAAACATTATGCCAGTATGCGTGAAAGTATGAAGGTAGTCCGCAAGCGAGTTCACTATGAAACACGGTTTCATTTCAAGCCTCAGACTCTTGCCTGTAGGGGGTCCGGACAGTTGGTCACTAGGACATTTGGTCGCATAGTATAAAGTAGGAGCAACATGAGACGCAAAAAAAGTTAAACATTATTTATTATATTATGCATAATTAAATAGAGAACACTACAGAAAACTTTGAACAATGATACAACAGAAATCTAACAAGTAGGACGTGGGTAGGGGTGCGAGTTGGAATTGTCTCTTTACTCATGTCTGCACGTCCAAATCCCGCAACAATCCACATCCAAACCTAGACCAGACCCACACTCACACACCCACACCCTTAGTGTTGTGCGATTATTTTATTCATAATCCTTGTGAAAACTAGCACAATGACCATCTGTCCTAGCGACCAACTGTCTTGCGACCAACTGCCCGCGACCAACTGTCCGCGACCAACTGCCAGCGACCAACTGTCTGCGACCAACTGTCCTAGACCCGTCTGTAGATCGATATTTGGTCCGTAGGTCGGATTTTCACTTATAAAATAACGTATCATTAGCATCCTCTTTACTACCGGCAGGCTAGTTTTGGCCAGTAGACCAGCTCCATCTCTGGGCTATTGTACTCTCTTAGATAAGTCTTTTCGAATAACTTCAATTCTTACATCACTAATGATATAATAATAAGACCACGTAAATATAAAGCGTTGCATATATACGTTGATGAAAAGACATAATAATTTTTCTCGTATTGATCAATAGCTACTGATTCTATGTTCAGAAGACAAGACATTTGTACTATACAATCTAGACTAAAGTATTCTTAATTTTTCATGATAAATAATCACGACTACTCTACAAGTGAAGGAAACATACCGGAAGAAGTCATTATCGCATCTATTGAACCCTAATGAAATACACTTTAATATGGTAAACCAAATGGTGGTGATATTTTCAATTCTTGCAAGCTTTTTCTTTTACTATAAAATAGCAAAGTATTAAAATGAAGCATATTTTTATAAATATTTCACAATAATAAGAAAGACTTAAAATCATAGAAAAGTATTTGAGCTATAAATCTGAAGTTTTTGTCATGCATGAAATTCTTTATTCTTCACTATCTTCGAAATGATTTTTCTAGTTTGTGAAAAAGTCTTAGCCAGAAAAACTGAAGTTTCTTGTTAGTTTCATATTCATAAGTCAATGATAAAACTGTGAGCCACTAATCTAGTCTGATTTTCAATAAATGCTTCAGGCCTCAATAAAAATTTACAAATGACTAATTAAGATTATTTATTCGATATGTAAAAGATTCGATCCGTATACTGATAAAATAAACACACTAAAGATCAACATAGATAAATTCATTAGAAAAATTAAATAGTGAAGCTCTCTCATTTTTAGAGTACTTATATAAATACAAACTAACCATGAGTTATTTAAACATTTTAGCTATATATATATACCCACAATTATCATCACAATGATCATAACTACTAGAAGATTCTTCCATTGTTTTTGAATAATTTCTATAAATAGTTGTAAATGCTGAACGCCAAACATTATGAGCCGCATTTCGATTATTTTGTAATACCGTGCAATTGTGGCAATTTTAACGAATGTTTTATATGATGGAATAAATTTAAAGCCCAATTTTTTGTATACTGGTGCATCCATACCACTTGCCTGCAATATCATGTAACGATAATTCAATTCTCGAGCACTTATCATAACTGTTTTGAGATAATGCCTTGCCTATGCCTTTTCCACGTTCATTTTTCAGAGGTGTTACATTGAATAAACAAGCGACGTCACTAGCAAAACTTACATGACATCCACCAACTACCCGATCATTCTTCACAGCAATAAAATTCGTACCGGTTTGGTCGGTCCGATTTCCACTCGACTCCATACATCTGCATAAAATGGTTCATAAATTTCGGAATTTCTAAATTCAAAACTTTCGCATAAAACATAACCCCATTCAAATTTTCTCATTCGGCAATCGGTTTGTGTCGAATCATCTAGTTCATATATTTTTACATCGGATTTGACATTATCACATTTTAACACATTATCACTATGATAAAAATCAAAATATTGAAGATTATCGTTCGATTCTAGTAATTAAAAAAACCCATAACATTTTAATAATTTTTCTGTGTCAAAGGCTGTTGACTTCACACTTATATGCATTGGACACTTATAATCAGATGCTAAAGATAATATTCGTTTGATTAATTTATCCTTGTCATTACAATGATAGTGTTCCATTGTATTATAAATATCTGTATCGAGTATTGTATTTTAAAAGCTCCAGAGCATATTTGGTGAAAAAATACAATCAATAAGATTTTCTATCTGATGAAGACGCAATGGTTTAGTATCTTGTTGATTTTCATTGTTAACAGAAGCAGCATAATTTGCAATATAAAGGTAAAATGATTTCCGATTTTCGGAAAATAATTCATTTAGTTTTGATGAATCAATGTCTTTTGTTAGTATTCTCGTTGTCAAAATTATTTTGACTTAGATATTGTATTTATTGTCTCGTACGTTACATATATAATAATGAAGTACAATATAAATCAGATGTGCTCTTCATTGTATTCACCTACACAACGCTAAAACACTGTTGGAGAACGGTTTGTTATAGTAGACCCTCGTGGAGATAAAAGGTAAAGCCTTTTTTAATAACCTTTAAGATAAAATTGTTCTGATTTTCGTCTTTCATGTTCTGCAAATTTCTACCACTATCATCACCTCTTCTTTTTTTTGTCTTTCGATCTAGATGTCGCCGTGGCTTGTTTATTGTATCAGTCATATACTTTTATCAAGATGAATTGTCACAAGTTGAGTGAATTTAATAATCTAACTTATTTTTTAATGAGTAAAATCAATACATTGACTCTTAAGATGCACTAAAAAATCGATCAGTATTATTTTCACAGATGAACTTAATCTCGATCTTGAAAATTTTGTCAAGTGTCGTCTATTTAATTTTTTCAGCATCTACGGATAATTCATCCAGGTCTAACTTTATGAGCAAGCTGAAATCCAGGATTGAAACGTTCGCAGACTTTTGAAGAGGCGATCTAATTTGTAACATCTAACACAATAAATAATTTAATTTGAAAGAAAAGGTTTTTTAACTCAAGGTTCCCAGGTCGATCATTCCGGATGTTCGTAACGGCATCATAAACGGTATAAAACAGCGCTATTACGGACCGTAATCCGTCAGTCCGTTTTACGACCATCGTTTAGTGCAGTAAACGATCATCGTTTTTACAAGAAACAGTCATCGTTTTTCACCGTATTTGAGCCGTAAAACGGTATTCCAAAAAACGGTTTCCATACAATATTGTGCAATATTATACAATATTGCTTCTCGTATTATTTTCATCATCCCATTTTACGGCAAAAATACGGCGAAAAACGATGGCCGTTCCTTGTAAAAACGATGATCGTTTACTGCACTAAACGGTGGTCGTAAAACGGGCTGACGGATTACGGCTCGTAATAGCGCCGTTTTTCGCCGTTTTATACCGTTTAGGGTCGTTTACGACGCCGTTTTCTTTGACCTGGGTTATGACGCTTGCATACTTACTCAAATCTAAAGTATTTTTGATAGTAGTGTTTTGTCATTGAAATAAAGTCAAAAGTAAGGAAATACCATGTGTTCGGATGTAGTATAAAGGAGTCCAAAAACCAACATAAACACTTCGAAAACGATGTAAAATGGCTGTCGTTAAGATGATCATTAATTTACTAGTAGAAAAAGTTGTCAAGACAAGAATCATTTTGTTGTTGATTTTAGAGTATTTTTACACTGAATTTAAAAAAAACTATCTTAAAACAATCGTTAAACACTTAATATTGATCTATCTATGTCGTTCGAATCGACAAAGAAACGATCAACTAACCAGCAGTTCATTTCACTTACCAGCTAGTCATAGATTATTCTTGATCACTTCTACATGACAATCCTTCTCATCCAACATGTGTATTATATCTAATTTATTTTATAAATTAATATATAATTTAAATTTAGTAAGGCATGCTTATATTTGGTTTAACGTTCAATCAAAAGTCAATGAAAAAAATACAATTTATCTTTTTCTGTATTAATTATGATGATAAATCACAGGATATGAATACAGATTTTTTTCTTTGGTGCATATCGTAAGAAGATATTTAAAAATAAAACTACAACTTGACATAAACACCTTATATCAAACTGGGAAAAGCTACATGGATGAACAACTTTCTTGAAAACTTGGCGAATACTTCTACAATCTTTATCGATCTCAATATGGACCTAATGAAGATGAAATGAAATTAATGTTACTGTATGAATATACATGATACAATTTAGAATATAAATTTGGAAAGGAAAAAATAATAGAGAATGAAGAATCACCAAAATAATCTAGTCAAACAAGAAAAGTATAGGGTGTAGGTGTGGGTGTGGGTCAGGGTTGCCAGATCAAAAATTTAAAAATCAGAAATTCCGACTATCAAAATCAGAAAATATTCAGAATTTTTTTTCGAAAATCAGAAAATAATCAGAAAGGCTAATATATTAAAATTGGCACTTATTATTTTACCAAACTATTACAAAATGCTTTAGTTGTAATTTGTTCATCTATTCTTCATTTATTTTCGAAGATATTTAACATAAAAAAACAATAATAATAAGAATATGTAGTTCACTGTATATCACACAAACTAGCAAAAGACATCTAGTATCAGACTTTTTACTAAACTCAAAACGTTTTTCACATAAAATGAGCAAAAACAAACCGAGAAATACACTATATACATCAAGAGATATTTAAAAAAACGACTCATTCAATATGAGTTCCATACTATTGATATTTTCCATTTTTCGAATTTGCTGCAATAAATGTTTATCAGTTGAAATATGTTTTTAGAACTGTTCACAAGAATAATTAGCATTCATTCTTATCTTAAGTTCAGCACTAACTAGTTTTATGTCCATGCAATTACGATAATCAGACCATACATGTTTCATATGGCTAACGATTATGATCGTAATCAATTTGAGAAAAGTCTTCATTCAGAAATAGAATTTGGACAAATATCGCAGCGAAACAGTAAAACCAGAAAAATCGAAAAAAACCTGAAAAATCAGAAAAATCAGAAAAATCAGAAGGTCAGAATAAAATCAGAAAAATCAGAAGGTCAGAATAAAATCAGAAAAATCAGAAGGTCAGAATAAAATCAGAAAAATCAGAAGGTCAGAATAAAATCAGAAAAAGTTTTGAAATTCAGAAGCTTTCCTGCCATTTCAGAAGATCTGGCAACCCTGGTGTGGGTGTGGCTGGGTGTGGGGGTGGGTGTGGGTATAGGTGTGGGCGTGGGCGTGCGTGTGCGTGTGCGTGTGCGTGTGGGTGTGGGTGTGGGTGAGGGTGTGGGTGTGGGTGTGCGTGTGCGTGTGCGTGTGGGTGGAGTTTGAGTGTGGGTGGGTGTGGGTGGGTGTGTGGATGGTTGAGGGTGGGCGTGGGTGGGCGTGGGTAGGGGTGGCACTTTAAACTTTAAAAACACTTTAACTTTAATTAAAGTTTAAAGTGTTTTACTTTAAACTTTAAGCTTTAATTAAAGTGAAACAGTTTAAACTTTAAAATTTAATTAAAGTAAAAATTTTAACACTTTAACTTTAAAAAAAAGTTAAAGTTAAAGTGTTTGTGTCATGCCATACTATAGGGGTACCCTTAGGTCCTCAACTGCTATACTATTAGATTACCCTTAGGTCCTCAAGTCCCATACGATAGGGGTACCCTTGGGTCCTGAAGTGTTACTAGAGGGCGGTACCCTTGAGTCCTTAAGTGCTACTATAGAGGGGTACCCTTGGGTCCTCACATCTCACTGTAGAAGAGTACCCTTGGGTCCTCAAGGACAAATACCCAGGCTCTGTTTCATCGTGTTGCACTGAGTAGGGACCCCAACATATACCCATCAATCGATAGAGCATCCACGATAACCCTATGATCAGCCCGAACATGCCTATGTGTTCTCCGTACAATAAGGAAGAAAAGGCCTCCTGAAATCTGATTGGTCTATTTCTGGACCTATCAGATGGCCGGATTCTATTTCTTCGTGTTAAGACAAGTGGAGACCCCTATAGTATAGCAGTTGAGGACCTAATGGTACCCCTATAGGATAGCAGTTGAGGACCTAAGGGTACCCCTATAATATGGCATGACACAAACACTTTAACTTTAACTTTTTTTTTAAAGTTAAAGTGTTAAAATTTTTACTTTAATTAAAGTTTAAAGTGTTTCACTTTAACTTTAAACTTTAAAGTGTTTTACTTTAACTTTAAACTTTAAAGTGTCACCCCTAGATGTGGGTTTGCATGACGTTTCAATCATAGCCACACCAACACCCATACCCACACTCCACACCCACAACCGAGACCCACATCCGCACCCACGCTTGCACCCACGCCCACACCCCACACCTCACACCCACACCTACACATTCACCATTTACCATCGAATCAAACGATAGAATAGTATCGGTAAGCATTAATGTAGACCGATTGTGTCCACATACGCAAAAGTTATAGACAGAAACGAAGACAAATGAGTTATTATTTTGCTTTTCATTTGTTGATATTCTTCAAGAAATAATAATTCAACGATGTATATCGCTGAGGATAATGGTAAAATTTGAAGATCATACAGTATTCGAATTTATCTTTTCATTGACATATTTCAATAAAGTCAGATGTTCTCAACATAGCTGGGCAAGTAGGGACTTTCTCGAGTACGAGTACGCAAGAGTTTCATAAGACTTCAGTAAAGAAATTTTAATTAGTAGATTCGGAAATGACGCATCAAGTTTGAGATGAATACATCAATGCAGTCATAAA